TTCGCAATCCTGGCCAATAATATTTTTGTTTGATTTTCGAAAGTGTCTTCCTTACTCCTAAATGTCCAGCAGATCTTACATCATGCGCATTATTTAACACTTTTCTCCGGTGTGATCTCGGTACAAGTACTTGAAAACAGTTTTCTTCAATTTCATTATCTTTCATATTCCTTATCAAAAGACCATTCTTTAGCTCCAACAACTCAAACTGATTCCATAAAGATTTAACTGTATAACTCTCTGCTCCAATATCTTTAAAAGAAGGTTTCTTTCCTTCTGAAACCCATTCTATCACTATGTTGAGATCTTTATCTTGCTTTTGTACATTTTGAAACAGATCTTCTTCTTTGTTTACTGAATTAAAACAAGACACACTTTCGAAAGAAATAATGTTTGTACTGATGTTTTGTGTTTTCTCTTCATCAGTTAAACCACACTGTCTACATGGTATTCGACTCACGCTATCAGCGTTATTGTGCAATCGTCCTGGTCTATGTTCTACTTTTATCTGATATGATGATAGCATCTCCAACCAGCGAGCAACCTGTCCCTCTGGATTTCTTTTATTCATTAACCATCTTAAAGATCCATGATCAGTTCTTACTAGAAATTCACGTCCATAGAGATAATGGCGAAAATACTTTACAAAATACACTACAGCTAACATTTCTTTTCTCGTAACACAATATTTTCGCTCTGTTTTACTTAATGTTCTGCTTGCATAGGCCACAACTTTTTCTTCTCCGTTGATTTTCTGTGATAAGACTGACCCAATAGAAAAATCACATGCATCTGTATCTAATATGAAGGGGATAGAAAAATCAGGGTGTGACAATATTGGAGCTGTTGTTAATTTATCCTTAAGAGTCCTAAAAGCTTCGTCGCAATTTATATCCCATAAGAATCGTGTGTTTTTCTCTGTCAGCTTAATCAAAGATCTTGCTAAATGTGAATATCCCATGATGAATTTACGATAATAGCTGCAAAGACCCAAAAATGAACGAACTTCTGATACATTTTTAGGTGTTGGCCATTGCTTAATACACTCTATTTTTCTTGGATCTGTTTTTACACCATTTGCAGTTATGACATATCCTAAGAATTCCACTTCCTTTTTAAATAACTGACACTTCTTAGGTTTCATTTTTAATCCAGCTTCTTCAAACCTTTGAAATACTTGGTCTAAATTCCTGATCATATCTTCAAATGTTTTACCAACAACTATGATGTCATCTAAATAAACAAGGCATATTTTCGAAAGTAGATCAGCTAATACATATTTCATTAAACGTTTAAATGTTGCTGGTGCATTGCATAAACCAAACGGCATTTTGTTGACCTCAAATAAGCCTCTTCTTGTAACAAATGCAGTCTTAGGTTTATCATCTTCTGACATTTCAACTTGCCAATAACCTGAGGCTAGATCTAAACAAGAAAACCATGAAGAACCTGCAAGTTGATCTAACGATTCATCAATTCTTGGTAATGGATAAGCATCCTTTATGGTAACATCATTTAAACGTCGATAATCAATACAAAATCTCCGTGACCCATCCTTTTTCTTCACAAGGACTATTCCACTTGCCCAGGGACTTGTCGATGGTTGTATGATATTATCCTGCAACATTTGATCAATCTGCTTGTCAACTTCTCCTTGTAGATGTACAGGAACTCTTCTTACAGGTTGTTTTATTGGTCGAGCATTTGCTGTAGGTATTTGATGCTTTATAATTCCTGTCCTACCTAAATCACTGTCAGACTTTGAAAATATGTGTGCATATCTTAACAAAAGTCCCTCAACTTGTCTCTTTTTATTTAGATCCATGCCAGAGCAAGAACGATCATATAAATCTTGAACATGATCTGGAAGTTTATTGCTTTTACATATGTGACTGTCTTTTTCTTCAACTTTATCTATTCTACATATGGTTGCTACATTTGTTCCCGGATAAATTGTTTGTGATTCCTTTGAAAAATTAGCAATTCTCAAAGGAACCTCGTCATCAACTTTAACTAATGTTCTAGCAACAATACCTTGTCCAGATTCGCTAAAACTTTTACTCATCTCTACAAGACCTAAACCTACTTTATTTATTCCTTTTTCACCAATCTTTCCCTTAGCTATTATTTCTGACTCAGCAGGGACAACAACTTGTTCCGATAGTACTATTCTAAAGCAGCCTATTTTTCCTGAACAGAACAAGTCAAGTTCTTGACCATAAAGTCCCATCTTATCATTAGCAACATCCAAAGTAACGTTATGATCCCGCATAAAATCAAGACCTAATACAACATCTGAGTCAATTTCAGCTACAATAACTTTTGTTTTACAACTTTTATTTTTAAATGAAATGAATATTTCAGTTTGTCCTTTGACCTTTAAATAATTTCCACTGGCAGACACAATCTGTGTTTCAAAAGATTGTAAAGAACATTGCTTAAGAGTATCACTCCAAAACTTTTCTGAAATTATTGTTAAAGTAGCTCCCGTATCTACCAAACAGTCAACTTGAGTTCCATTAATATGTGCTGAAATATACAATCCTGAAGATTGTGTTCCTGATTGCTTACATTCATGTGTTGTTCTGGTCCTTGTGTTATTGTCCGATTTACTTGATGTTTCCGTATTATCCATTTTGAAAGAAGTTCGGGGCTTCTGTTGAGTTTCCGTTTCAGATCGCTTATAAACTGAAGTATTAACGTAAGGTCTTCGTTGCCTATTTTCATTGTAAGAACGATGTTGAAAGTTCTTTTGTGGAAAATGTTGTACACGTCTTTGATCATGTCTATTTGGTGTTCTAGTATAGTAGTTATTTTGCCGCCCGTATCTTCCTTGACGTTGCATATTATCAAAACTTTGTTTTAAAGAAGATACAACAGTTTGAAGTTTTTCAAACTCTTTTGACAAGTTATCTGTCTGCGAACTTCTTATCATTCCCTGCTGCTTCTTTTCAGCCCTGTAGAAAGCTTCAAGTTCTACAGCATGTCTTACTGCATCATTCAAATCAATGGGCCTGGCTTGTTTTATCTTGAGACGCATGTCTGAATTTACAAGTGCATCAATGAATTGTTCTTTAGCTAAAGTGTCACGAACATCTATAGGAGCATGAGGGTACGCCAAGTTTGCAAGTCGACGAACATCTTGTCCAAGTTCAGACATTGATTCAGTAGCTTTTTGATGTCTATCTCTCAACTGAACTCTATATAACTCAGTCTGATTTCTTGGTGAAAATCTATCTTCGAGTGCTCTCACAAGTTCCTCATAATTGTGTGTCTTTGTTGTCAAATTTCCGAACACTCCTTGAGCTTGGCCTCGTAAGGATACAGATAAGTATAAACCTTTCTCATTTTCATTCCAACCATTCAAAGTTGCACAAGCGTCAAAGTGTGCTTTATAGTTTGTCCATTCACAAGTTCCGTCATAAGTTGCAGGTTTCATGAAAGTAGACCTTGAATCTTTTACTTTGTAATCAAAACTTTTGTCTGAAGTTTGATTGTTATCCAATTTCTGTTGTTCTTTTGGAGTTTCAGGGGGTAGCAAGTCAACAATCCTCCGTCTTTGGGTGATCATTCTGTCATTTACATCCCTCTCATGTTTTTCACTTTGAACAGGCAATGAAGGCAAAAGACGTCTAGGCTTTGAGGTAGTCTTTCTACTTGGTGTAAAACCTTCATAAGTATTCTCTGTTTTTACCATAGCAGGTGTTGATGTAGCCAGCTCAATACTTGTCTGGTCAATTTGTCTTTGAAGACTATCAATCTCTCTCTGGAGTTTCAGCCTACGATTCTCATTCCTAAGATTTTCCATTTCATCGTACATATAACAAAAGTCTTCATCGGACCATTTACTTCTATACTCAGCCATGTTCTTAAAATCTAGGGTAAGTAAGCCTATCTAAAGCTTGATGTGTCCCCCGTTTTTTTTTAAGTCTAGGGTAAGTTAGCCTATCTAAACTAATAGTGTCCCCCGTTGGGCGCCAATTTTGTAACGTGCACGGGCTAGCTGTTATATATATAATTTTTCTTATGGCTACTTTGCCAGTTGATTAGTTACAAATGATTATGCAATAATTTGTTTAAACTTTGGAATCAAGTTTAATTAACTTATGTTATAACAGTAACGTGCTTGAAAGGTAATAAGTGGACCTTGAACTTGATATAAAATTGGGGTGACACTTTTAAGGCTATTTCATATATATAGAAAAACCACTTGGATATCGAGTTTTCAATACTTTAGTAATAACAATTACACCTAACGCAATGTTAAATTGATGCAATTGAAATACTTCGTAAATAGTGCAAGAACCCAAGTAATTAGACTAAAATATTAATTATTTCTGTGGTGTTGACACTTCGGCAGCTGGACAGAGACTGATCGTCCGCAGCTTTGAGCTCTATTTATACCCAATAACGTAGTTGTATTTAATAATCGTTTACTGAAGTTGAAGAAATCAAGCATCCAAGAGATATTGATAATGGTTCGAATATTGGTACGAATGGCATTGAGTTCGAATGATTTTAAGTACGAATTGTTCTGATATTTTACTAATATCAAAAATATGCCCGTTATATCAAATAATTGCTACGAGTAAGTTGTTAAATATATTCATTTAATTTTTATGTATTTTCTACTTATTTATAAAAGAACAAACTATACATTTAAACACAGGATAACATATTTGTTTACAATTTAACTTACCGATAATTTAGGTATCAAACCACTAAATATCATGAAAGAATCTAGGCTGAAGAGAACAATCGTCACAGAACTAATTTTATCATATAAATTGCGTATTAGCCGTTTTTCAATAATTTGGCGGCCATCTTGGTGGCCATCTTGGATTTCTCAAAACGTACCATGATTTGACATGTCTACCCAAAATTTTTGTAAACTTCAAACATTTAGCTTTACATTGGTATGACATTTATCTGTGGACCTTTTTTGCACACAAAAGGTCCTCAGGGACTGTACTATTCATCTTTTTCTCAATATGTTTCAGCGGTTGGTTTTTCCTGCATGTTTATATCATCATCTACAGCAATAGTTCAACATTTTAAAGGAAAACAACGTCTTCTAATGTTGTCTTTACAAGGATCTGGTGCTGGTTTAGGTGGAATGATTTATCCGTACCTTTTACGATATCTGAGGTAACGTTTAAGCAGATATGAGCCGTGTCACGACAAACCAACATAATGGGTTTGTGACCAGCATGGATCCAGACCAGCCTGCGCATCCGCGCAGTCTGATCAGGATCCATGATGTTCGCTATCAGTTTCTTTACTAGTTATAGGGTCTATCCGCGCAGTCTGGTCAGGATCCATGCTGTTCGCAAACGCATTACGTTGGTTTTGTCGTGATGCGGCTCAATTATTAATTTGAATTTAATTCATTTTGAACAGGAAAAAGATGTTGTTAGCATGCATCATTATAACACGTTTCCATCTCTTATCAATAGATAACCGTATCAATAGAGCACCGGGAACTAGTTCGAGGGTGGGTAGAAAAATACTTTCGTTACATTAATTTTGTTTGTACAGATAATAAGATCAAATATACAGTTATATATATAGTTATATATCCTTGGTAACCTAGGCTATTTACCATATACCAGTGTTAATGTAGTATATACTGAATATACACCATGGGTTCCGACGATGCTTTTTTCTATGCATCAGTTTAATTTTATTATTTAAGTGTAAAATGATTAAGCATAATCTACTTATATGAATATTCTATGCCGATGTTTTGTTTGATGTCTAAATATAAATGTAAGTGTGCATTTAATTACATGTATGATGAGTTATTTATCTCTAGACCTAAATCAGTTTTAGTCGTAAATGTAATTTCGAGTTTAAAGTCTGTTCTATCATGTTATCAGAATTCGGTGTATTAAACAGTTCGTCACAATAATAATTATCTTTCATCATATTAAGAAAAATGACGTAATATTTTTTCTCGACATTTATATTTTGCAGCAGTCAGTATGGAATAAGAGGGAATTTATTGGTTATTAGTGCAATCTTCATGAACTCGATCCCGATTTGTTTCCTGTGGGGTCAACCAGACGATACTGACGGACAACAGAGCATTCCAGATCAATCCAAGTCTGACGAGACTTTTGATAATGAACATTGCGGTAAAATATTTGATGATACAAACGGGTTTGAAAAAGATAACTCTGAAAATGAAAAGCTTATGAATGGTATGAATTCCCATGATGCAATACCTTCAAAACAAGCTGTTATATCAGAAGAACACATTGATTTCAACGATAAAAATGATACTAAAGATGACCACGTAAAAAAACCATTTCACGAGACGGACAGTATATCTAAAAGCATGACTGATAGTAACATTGATATTGTAATTGAAAACCAAAGTAAAAATCATTGTGGAGAATCTGCTGATACTCTATGTCATAGTTTAAGTCAGATATTAAAGAATCGGACATTTGTTATATATCTTCTCGGAGGTGTGACGTCATATCCGGCATTAGGTTTGATGATGGTTTTTGTTGTAGACATATTTCTCGATAAAGATTTTACGTCAGAAGATGCAGCCTTTGGACAACTTCTTTTAAGTGCATTGAACATACTAGGTCGTTTTCTGCCAGGAATATTAATGCAATTTAGATGTGTTTCAACTTTGTCTATTCCAATGTTAGCATCACTAATATCAACTACCGTTTTCCCCTGCCTGGTTCTAGCTCGAGTCAAATGGCTTGCCACGTTGCTTTGTGCGTTTACCGGCTTGTCTCTCGGAATGTTTGTTTCTATATACAGTGTTACCACTGTAAAATTAGTTGGTCAAGAAAGGCTTCCAAATGCAATGGGTTTGTTGTTTTCTGCCAACAGTCTAGGGAACGCAATAGCGGGTCCAGTGTGTGGTAAGTTTAGACAAAACCTTCAAAATGTATAGAAACTTCATTTAATGATACTAAAAATAGCAATCGAATTACACCGTCGCACATGACTTCCTCTGTTGGTATACACGTATTTTTAATTTTATGATAAAGACTTTCATCAAACATTTATAGTTGGAAGCTAATCTGCAAACTAACATACAATATATTTTATATACGAAATATTTCAAAGGTTTTTTTGAAGTAGAGAAATATTTTATTATAGTAAACATTTTGTCCCTTAATATTGCCTCCACGTGATGACATTTTAAAGATATATGAAATGATAATCATTTATCAATACATTTGTACAATATTTTATGGTTCATTGATACGATTCCAAAATTATTTCTTTTCTTATAATTGTGCACAGTTCGTTTGAGCTTAACTTACATAGAACACAATATTTATGCCTTCTATTTGTTTACAGTTATAGGCGTTATGCTTCACATATTAAAATACATTGACACATACATGTATTCCATGTTGTTTTTTCTCTTATTCTTAAGTAAATGAATTTAGAAACACATTTTCAAATTAAAACATTATATGGCTACGATTACTCATAATTGATGAATATAAGTCAATTTATGATATTATTCATTTTCAGGATATTTACGTGATATAACAGGATCGTACAGTATACCTCTATATGCCGGGGCGGTTATGAGTCTGTCCGGTTTCATTTGTTATACCACTGCTAGCATAACCAGACGTCGGACAAAACATTGAGCTTCTCAAACTCCTAGCAATATAGTCATTTTTAAATGTAAAAATAGAGAAATACATAGAGAAATAGAATATAATTCGTCAATATAGTGTTATATTTTATCTGGTCCGAAGCAGGTACACCGAAATTCACTCAAAAACTGCAACGTTTTCTGGTTAAAATCATATGATACGCAAATTGCGTTTATATACATAAATGGACTAAATAATTTTGTAAGGAAAATTTCTATTTGCGGAACCGATTCCTCCAGAAAAAGAAGTCACAACCGTGAGAGATAATTGATTTAAAGACGGGTAAAGACGATCATAATTCAAACAAATTGGACAAGATTTTTTTAAAGATTAATTAACAGACTGCTGTGTCCTATGTACTAGTCAGTTATAGTTTAAGTACAGAGTTTGTATCGTTTTTCGGACAAGAGAAAAGTTAAATCGGCCGAGGACGATCATTTCATATCGTATATCAATAATAACAATGTAGGGCCAATGTGTTGATTTTTATGTTTCAAAAAGGCAGTGACATCTTCATTTAATTATTTCTGATAAATAAAGTGATTATATATTAAATATCATTCTAACAACTGGTGCCGTTGAATGTTACGATTTTATAAGTACAAAAAAAAATAAATAGATGGCGTTTATATTTATCTTATTACAAGCGTCCAATAAAACGTAGAAGCGCCGTACAAACTTACATAGGGTACAATAAGGTAACAGTAATTTTCTTTGATTGTATTCATTCCGTAAACTCATATGTGTTTTTTTCACTTACGTGGCTGAAAGAACAATAGAGAGAACAAAAGAGAAGCCACTTAGATACCAAAATTTGAGCATGTCCGCGTCCATGGCGTCTATATGTCCTGTTTGGGATCCACAAGACATTTGGGGACTCGTGATGTCAACGCAAATCATCCAATCAGAACGATGCTTAAATGAACCCTATACATGATAAGTATTATACAACACCGTTGTTGATACAAACTTTAGATATACATAAACATCTTAACATAACACTAACTATAGATATACATAAACATCTTAACATAACACTAAAGATAATTGCAGTGTGTAAAATGATTTTCACAGCACTTGGTAACAACAAGATAATCTTTCAACTGTTGAAGTACCCACTGAGTCAGCTGTCCAGACTTCGTGAATCAGTTTCTTCCACTTGCGCTCAACTTCTAATCTCTTCATTAACGGTTCGAAATTCTCATAGTTCTTGCTTGCACGTATCTGACTGTAGTTGCCCACTAAAACAATATAACCACCTGTAAAAAATCATAGTTCCATTAAACTGATATAGTGTATAAATCACAGTTATGTTAACACTCAACGCAATGATTTTCTTAAATGTTCTGCCTAGTTTTTATTTTTTTAAAATATCATAATCAATTTAGTGGATACCGAAATATTCTTTTCATGTTAGTAAGCCAACAGTATAGAGCCTGGTTAGAATGCACGGACTAACAGACTGGTCTGGATCTATAATTGGTGCAAAGGTTTCTCATTTTCGGATCTAGCACAGTACGGCCAAATTCCGGACTCTTTCATCTTTTATCATCAATTGAGGATCTTAGCAACACAATTTTACTATCATGTTGCATTATAATATCAAAACTATCTACAGTGTGGAATGTTGTAGGCCGTACACATGACTGGTTGACAGACAACGGACATCTAAGCGGGCACGGATGTTCTCTGAGCACCTGATGAACACAAAATATCTACCTGGTTTGACGAGTCTTATCATTTCGTAAAAAGCTTCGGTTGGTACATGCGCCTCTATCGCATAAATCCCTGATCCAGTTAGCACATCATATGAATCTGAAGTTGATCGGAATTTTAAATATATTATAAGAATATATTGAAGGATGAAGACAAGCAAACATGAAAAACACAAAACGGGCAACATGAGGTCTACTGATGAACAGATTATCAGTGAGCATTGGTTAAATATGTTGAATTATTGGGGCACGTGTATTATTGATTAAAAACGATGGGCAAACATACGTAATATAAGTTGTCTATTTCAATTATCAAATTCAGTTAGAAATGTGTGCTTTTCAAATCTTTGAGAATATTTTGCATTATAATGATGACTATTTCTATAGAATAGTCTCTGTTATTTGGGGAACAACTTATACCCTGCCCTGGTTATGACGTAGGTACTGTATCTACGTCATATCCTTTTAACGCTGGCGTCGAATATGTAACAAGGAAGAAATGAATTGTATAATAATAAATTAATAATAATAATAATTTCAAATATTTGTCTTTGTTTGACTATGTTGTTTATGATTCATGGTGTAGGCTACATTATAGTACAGATTTATAAAAAATTATATTTGTCACACAATTTATTGCAATTTTAAGTTGACAAGTTGTAGTTCACTTGTACAATTTATTTTCCATTGTACCTTTTATTTACTTTACACAACCTAAAAAGATAAATATTTTAATATAATAAATGAATAGCTTATTTGTTAAATTATTATGAACCTCTTTTAATGATTTAGACATAGTGAACACCATCCAAATATAAAACTTTAAATTTGAAAGTATATCATTTATTTTTTATTTTTTCTTATAGTTTGACCATAGATCTACACATAATTAAACTTAAAACTTTAATTTAGAGGTTAAAAGTTTTCCATTTCTTTAGGTTTTCTTATAATCTTATGCTATATGATAGGTACTCATTCCCCTAAACTAGTAATAAAAGTGAACACGCTTCTTAAATTTTAGTGTTAAACACTGTTGATAATATTTACACAAAATCATGCATTCAACGTTTAACTTTTATTTCAAAGAAAAATCATTCAAGACAGTTTTCTCTTGGCTTTAGTATAATACCCAACTTTGGTTGAATTGCAAGACCAATTTTTATGTAAACTCATATAGGGTATGACGTTTGACATTTAAAATGTTAATATAAATCGTCTTACTTTAATTTCGGTGTTGAAACAATATTTCATTGTGAAAAAGTACACCCTATTAATTTCAAAATAACATGGTTATGATATTAAAATGACATTGTGCCTATTTTGTCATGGTCAAGTTATGCTGAATTGACTTTATGTTTCAAATAATTGACTGAAAAAATGTTATTGACCTACAGCTGATATTTTAAAATGTTTATGATAAAATATAAGTATGCCTAAAATTTAAAAAGACTGTCCCAAACTTATATAAATTGAACATTTTGGGTAATTTCCAATTGCATTAATTTATCGTTCATAAATGGAAAGTACATTATAAAATTGAAAGGAATTATTGCAAGATGTAAACTTATTTGACTTTCACCTGTTCACTCATTATAATTAAAGCCTTGGATGGGCATTATGCATTATGTCAAAAATATCTATTACATACTGTTTAATACTGTTTACATTCTATTTGATTAGTGTCAATTAAATCATTTAATGTACAAATATTTTCATAATTTTGTAATAAATTATTATGCACTTCAGAGTCCATACCATATTTATATAATTTTTGTTCTTAAAATGATTGCCTTTTATCTTCATGGTAATAAACTTTGTCGTTTTCTGTCTGGTTTATTTTATTAACAATAAACATAATAAGGCACATAAAAACAATAACTTTACAATGTTTAAATAAAATGATGCAAATACTTTGGCAATGTTCTAAGGTTTCACTTTGTTCAAAATCTTAAATCACCATATTCTTAAGCTATTTTTTTTCAGCAGCTACTTAATTTGATAATCAAAAATATCTTGGCTGATAATCAGCAAATGGTTTCTGTATTGCAGATAGATTAATGAATGCGGCTTTCAATTAAAATAAAATGTAAATACATTAGTATTATTATAATCAATGTTTATTTAAGTCTATTAATTGGTTGAATTGACTAATAACCAATACAGAATAAAACAACTTTTAACTGACAGTATAGCTGGATGCTGCAAACTGACCAGTGAAAGAATATTTTGTGAAATTGCTTATAACACTGGCAGTAGAATTTATGTCCAACAAAAAGCTTAAACCATTATTCTTGAAGTTTGGGAATTTAGTATGTTTTTGGCCAATAAAGACATTTTATTAGTAAATATTCCATGAAATCTATTATTAATTGTTTCAAATCTTTTTACAGCTCAGTTAAGTATATTAGTATAAGTACCTATTTTGAATAAGCGCTTCACATGTAGTTGTAAGAAAGACAGTCCAGGACTGACCAGGATGGGTGGTGTGAAATGCTGCAAATTGAAAAATATAGCTCGAACCTATGTACAATTGTGGCAACCTATGTACAATTGTGGGGTAAAAAATTAGGACAATTTCTAACACGTTAATATTGCATGCTATTCTAATGACAATAGGTGCTAAGCATACTAAAATGTAATACCAGTGTTCTGCCTTGTCGACGATATGATGCATTGAATTGTTGCTAGTTTTCTTTATCGCATGGAGTGTAATAGTTTACATCATGCGATTTAAAAACAAATGGAAACCTGATTAATGTAACATTATTAAACATGTTGGTTGAATTGGAAGGATTCGAACCCATGGAGTGCAATTGGAAATATCTGCTCTCAGAGTCATGCAGGTCTCACGATCTTGATGGTCACTATTGTATTGGGCATATGTTTTCGGCGCGTTGGTTGGTGGCTGCCCCCGGGGGACCCTCGCCCACTTTGCGGCCCTCCAACCTTTCAGAACCATAATATTGAAAATTGGTTAAATAAAAAAAAAATAAAAAAAAAACGTTGGGGTTATGGAGTTCAATTATTATTAAGATGAGTGCTGAAAAATGTGCAGCGAGTTGCATACCTTTACTAAATATGTATATATTAATCATTTTTTTATTTTTTGTGGGAAATGAAGGTTATTGAATTAAAAGCATATACCAAATATTAAAACATGTTTCAAACGAAAAATACTGCAGTTTACATGGTTTTGGGGGGTGGGAGGGTTGTGGGTTGGGTGGCCGATCAGCGCGCCGAACACCTATGGCATAGAGTGATTCAGGAAATGTATATTTGAAAAGTTGATGTGTTGATGCATAATTTATAGTTCAGTTGATTGAATGCACTTATTGTATACATGTATCTAGCACATATTTGAAGCAGTTTGAATGTTATTGCTAAATTAATATCTCGAAAAAATGCACCGTCAAATGTATATACATTTAGCTAGCACATATTTGGAGCAGTTTAAATTGAATGCTTTTGCTAAATTCATGTCAGGAGAAATGACACTGAACTCGAGATCTTGGTGGTTACTACCCAAATTATTGTGTTTCAGATAGTGTCATATTTGATTTATGAGCGCTAGTATATGCATATTTGTTGGAATGCTGCTTTATTTGCTAAGTTGAATTACCTACATAGCAGTGTTGTATTATAAATCATAGAATGGCTGGGCACGACTAATTTTTTTTCAAGTATTCAATTCGCCGGAGCCAATAATAGTATGATATTGGCGAAGCCAATATTATATGTTATTGGCGGAGCCTTCGACTGGAAAACGGGAAATCTCCCGTTCACCATCCGAAGTCTAGTGGCGGCCGGCGAATAGACATTTTGTGATACTGGCGATACTGGTTTCTGCTTCCCAGAACCAATTTCGCGCAACAGTGTCAATGCTGTGTTGTTGCTCATATACATTTGTGAAAATTGACTATTTTGTGAATGAAGAATTGAAAGACTAGTATTGCTTTGATCAATTATTTTCTAGAACATACTGTTCCAAAAAGCTATACAGTTTGTTCCATTTGCTTGTTTTGATTTTGTGTCATTTGTTTGCTTTGCTATGGATGCCCTAACAGGGTTTTGTATGCCCGGTATCCAAACCTTTTGGCTTTTATTAATGGAGTCGTGCCCATATAAAATGCCAAAGATAAACTAAGACATTACTCAGTGAGAGATAAATTACATATGCACTATGTATGACTATAAAATAAAATTAGTTAAAGTATGATATTGTTTTGTTGTTGTCCCAAATAATGATGACTATTTCTATAGAATAGTCTCTGTTATTTGGGGAACAACTTTATACCCTGCCCTGGTTATGACGTAGGTACTGTATCTACGTCATATCCTTTTAACGCTGGCGTCGAATATGTAACAAGGAAGAAATGAATTGTTGAAAAAAACCCACCCGCCCTCCTCGGTCAATTATGAGTGTGAAGTGTCAAAGACTTGAGCTTAAATTTAATATTAGTGTCCTGCTTTTTTTGTTGTTTCTGTCCTCTTTTTGATATGTTTTCAGATTAGCCAACATAAGCGACGTGTTTCAAGACAGCTAGCCCTACTAACTACCACGGAAGAGGTATCTTTTAGGAAAACTGCTTGGACCAAAACCACCAGCAGAGAGAATTCGACAACGGTGCGACTCCAGAGATGTGTTCTATGAACTTTCAAATACTAGATTTCACATGTTGTGTCTGCTAAATTTGCATTTTGCGGCCGGCGAATAGACATTTTGTGATACTGGCGATACTGGTTTCTGCCTCCCAGAACCAATTTCGCGCAACAGTGTCAATGCTGTGTTGTTGCTCATATACATTTGTGAAAATTGACTATTTTGTGAATGAAGAATTGAAAGACTAGTATTGCTTTGATCAATTATTTTCTAGAACATACTGTTCCAAAAAGCTATACAGTTTGTTCCATTTGCTTGTTTTGATTTTGTGTCATTTGTTTGCTTTGCTATGGATGCCCTAACAGGGTTTTGTATGCCCGGTATCCAAACCTTTTGGCTTTTATTAATGGAGTCGTGCCCATAAAATGCCAAAGATAAACTAAGACATTACTCAGTGAGATAAATTACATATGCCACTATGTATGACTATAAAATAAAATTAGTTAAAGTATGATATTGTTTTGTTGTTGTCCCAAATAATTTGTTTGTTCATAAAAACAGATTATTTATTGAACTTTATGGTCATTAAATGATTTATTATTGTTCGTGTGGACACAACAGATAAGAGAAACACCAGTCTCGTTAAAATAAGCTCATCGTTTTCACTCCGTTAATCTTCACTGCGAGCGGAGTGTTGTAATTTAATGAGATTGAAATAAACGCCTTTCAGCTTCAAGGATAAATGAGCTACTGTATAATTATGTTTTTCCTACTTACTAGCAGGTAAACTTGTCGGTGATCCAGTGATACATTCAACAAAATTATTCTCATACAAGTTGTTCTTTTTAGCTTCATCTAACATTTTAGATGAAGGTTCAAGAGCATCTAGATGTTCAAATCCTAATTTCTTCAACTGAAATTAGAATATTTGAGCCGTGTCATGACAAAACCAACATAATGGATTTGCGACCAGCATTCGCACAGTCTGATCAGGATCCATGCTGTTCGCTTACAAACTATATAACCAGTGTAAAAACCGATAGCGAACAGCATGGATCCTGATCAGACTGCGCGGATGCGCAGGCTGGTCTGGATCCATGCTGGTCGCAAACCCATTATGTTGGTTTTGTCATGACACGGCTCAATTTATCTTATCATAGGAGTATTAACGTTATGATTAAATAATTAAGATACAACAAAGTTTATTTTCAATCGTGTTATATTTTCTTAAGTTTCTTTTTGTTAGTTTATTCAAATTAAATGTAAAAGGGACAAATGAAGTGCGAGTAACCACACTAATTTTCTCATATTGATCGTGAACCCGTACATATACGAGTATTATTATGTGTAATACGAATAATATGAAAGTTACTGTCAATTCTTTTAACAAGCATCAGTTGAAGTTGATCATCGACACCGAAGTGTCTGAAGTAAAGGAAAGAGAATGATTACAACTATTTACCTCTTTAGCCACCAGGCCCGTGCCTGCCCCAACATCTATGACACTGATGAGTCCCCGCTCACTGGCCGGAAAAAACTGTTCAAGTATATTTGCCACTGTTTTACTGTTTATATCATGCTTCGCAGATGTTGCATGCTAAAATAATAATAACAACAATATAATACAACAATATAATACAACAATATAATATAACAATATAATACAACAAATTATAAGCGTTCTTTTAAGGGTATAAAGATTTATCTTATGGAATATTTTTGTAAAACTTCCTAACTATAAATTGTGTTGTTTCAATAATTTTTGGTCGATTCTAGAAAAAGATTTGTAACAAAGAATGTCTCTTATTTATCAAACATGAATGACTTGTATATACATGTATACGTATTTCATACGAGTACATTTTTCGCAAAATAAAGTTTATGTTATACACATTTCAGTATAAATTCAAGTACAAATATCCTAGTTACACGATGTTTTGCCCTATTTGTACGCATGAATTTCTGATATTCAGTTATTTTTGTAACTTACACTGTGACACATGTGTCAAATATTCGTACATATTACATACATAAGTACCGACTGTTCATTCATTGAAAATTATGACCATAAAACTCTTAAACATTGAACTAAAATATCTACAAACCAAGTCGTATGTGCTCGCCCAACCATCATATGCTTTTTGTGAATCCTCAAAGCTGACACCATCTCTACAAACGGCCTCCATCCATTTCTCAAAGTCCTGTTCTGTCATCACTTTATTAATTGAATTCTTTAAAAGCGATAAGTTCCTCAAAATGAATTATTTCCGTTACCAACTAACGAAAATAGAAATATTTCGTATAGTCTTTATGTTACCTTTATGTGACCTACATTTGTACTTTAGTTAGTTTCGTACATGCATATGTGTATATATGTTTACAAAATTTACCAAAATGCTGTATTTTTTTGTACGATTTATTTACACATACAAACACATTGGTGTCTTTAATTGTATTCATTTCAACTATTAATTTTGGTGGCTAGCTTTTACTCTTATCCATCGCAAAAAAAGCATAAGAACTCGACGAAATCATCGTTTGTCTTGTTTTCAACCATTTATCTACACCCCACCCCTCAAAAAAGCAGCAAAACGAGAAGAAACAAGAAGAAACAAGATTGCATTTGTGAAAAATGTTATGCCACCAGAATATACAACATTAAATACATGAAGTAGGAAAGAATAAGCTCTATTTTGTTACTATACAAGTGAACTTTGCAACCATGCAGTAGTGTCCATTGAATATGGGGATCAAAGTCAGCAAGTCATAGGAAAAACAATGTGCAGATAATTTTATTTTCTGGATCAAAGTTTTAAACACAAAGGCAGACATTATTTGGAAATCGAGGTAGGTCAACTGATATCAAAGTTCAAGTCTACACCTGAATCTGTGGAAGTAGTTCGAATTTCAATGATGTAACTCTCAATACATAACGTAGGTCACTGGGTCAAAATCTAGGTCCAAATTTAATTTTATATCTGAAACTGTGCATATAGTCAACATGTTGCGGGCCAATTTTGACCCAAGTGCTATAATTAGAACAATCTTGATAGAAGTCCACTAGAAATTGATAGAAGTCCACTAGAAAATGTTGCATGCCAAACATCTAAACTGTAACTGTTATATATTTGCACGAGATATTCTATGTATAAATGGAAAACCTATGACATTTCGAAGCAGAGCCAATTTTGACCCTAGGGCAAAAATTTCAACTATCTTGGTAGAGGCCCACTTCAAAATGTTTCACGCCAAAAATCTTAGCTCTAGCCCTTGTAGATTTTAAGGAGATTTTTAAAATTTTTACTATATATATTTTCAAGAGAAAATATAGGCATCCGGGGCGAGGCGAACTTTAACCCTGGACTTATATTTGAATAATTTTGATAAGAGGCCACGACGAAATGTTACATGTCAAATAGCTAAGCTCTAGTCCTTGTATATTTGGAGAAGAAGAATTTTCAAATTTTCAAAGTTTACTTTTATATACAGAGAAAATCCATGATCCCCCCGGACCAGGGCAAATTTTAACAATTTTGATAAAGTTCCACTGGAAAATCTTTCATGCAAATATCCAAGCTCTAACTAGATTTGCAGAAGATTTCTATGTACAAATGGAAACCAATGACTCTCGGACGTGGTCAATTTTTACACTATGGTTATAATTAAATAATCTGGTAGAGATCCACTAGAACATATTTCACGCCAAATATCATAGCTCTAGCCCTTGTAGTTGTGATAAAGATTTTCTAATTTTTACCATATGCATACAAGGAAAGCACGTGACCTCAAGGGCGGAGACAAATTTTGACCCAAGGGCTATCATTTTAACGATATTGATAGTGATGTCAAAGACACGTTTCTTCATATGATACCAGTACTGGTTAATTCCAGGAATTTTTTTATCTTAATCGAGCTAAAAATAAGTTTAACTCAACTAAAAGATAATTATTGTAACTATAATAAAGTTTACCTGACTTGACAAGCCTGATCAAATCATGTATGGCGCCACAAGGCACGTGAGCTTCATTTGCATATATTCCACTTCCAGTTAGTACATCGTAACTGCCTATATAGCAAACAAAAACGAGAAAGAAAATATTATTATGGCTCTAGCAAATATTTATGACACAATTTGCATGATAGATACGTCTAATTATAAATGCATAAAGACTCGTGATAGTAAATTATTATAGCTGTTATTTGTATTTCGCTTTCAGTAAAAATAGGCCGAATCAAAAGACGAACTAACGTTACTATTTACTTAGTATATATGGAAAGCTCAATTTTTAATAAAACAGTTTTTCGTATAAGTGTATTTAAATGCCGATATATTACACTACATTAATTTTGTTTGAGTGTAGGTTATATGGCGACGTTCCAGCAATTATGGTGGAGAAAGACCTCATGTACCCTTCCATGCATTATTTCAGGTACGAACGGGCACCTGAGTAGAACCACCGACGTTCCGTAAGCTAGCTGAATATTTTCCTCATATGATAGAATCTAAAGTCTCTGTCGGGATTCTAACCCACAACGCTGAGGGATACATGTAATGTTTTCTCAAAAGTAGAAAAAGAAATAAGGAACAGGCGGGATCATTTAATAGAATACAATCAAATCATATTGTTCCTCATAACAGCTAGTGATTTTCAATCTTCATTTATGTAAGGGGTGTTCGAAAATACTTAAGGGTGTTCGAATATAATTGCTTATTGGAATTGGACGTCTTATATGATATCAAAGTTCAGTCAGGATTTATTTTTTTCAATTTCGGTAAAAAGGAAAAAAGTTGCAAAGGGCAAGACCTGGTGGCAAGACCTGGTGAATTATGAGTGTACGTTAAAACTGTAACATTTCCTTTAGTCAAAAAGTCTTTTACAATTGCAGAGTTATTTATAAGCTGTGGCATTTTATTGTAGAAGTCGGGCATATTTGAAATGGTTAATTGGCGCTTGTTTTCATGGTGTTTTATAGTAATTACCAGTGACACTTTTGCCTTTACTTCACTGGCACACATGCACTAGGGAAGAAAATTGTATACAAAACCTTCTTAACACTCAACGAGCGTTAAAGCATTTAAAAGGCACGAAGGGAATTTTTTTGAAGTAAAACCCACTTCATTCATTTCCAACCCAATTTTTTACGTAAGCGGAATGTTGAGGTATTCTGAAATAAATCAACAAATAATTCCCCAAAGTTTGGTTCTTACGGCTTCATTTAGAAATCCATGCTTCCATAGCTTAAAAAAATAACAAAATAATCGTAAGTGACAAAAGAAACTTTAGTGCAGGATGTGCCTCTATGGGCTCTGGGACACATAAACTGGACATTAAAACAGAAACATTAATGAACATGTTTTAAATGGCCATGTGAACGTATCTCAACATTTCGACCATGTTACTTTTCGTGCTGAGAAAATGGAAAATTAATTTCTTCGTTGTTTCAAACGCATTTTTAAAGTGTTTATTGTCTTTAAGCACATTTTTGAAATTTTTTATAATTTACAACTTCCCTTCGTTTGATACCCAACGCTAACCATTTCGCCCCTTGTGTATAAGATTGTCTACTTTAAAACAGGGCTTAATTTATAGATATTTTTTTAATAAAAATTGTTTTTAAAACCTTTGGGTTTTTTTTGCTAAAAACCCCTGTACCAGCCCCAAATGTCCAGTTTTAGTGTTTCCCTCCGTCCCCCGGGAAAAAAGGGGCCTTGAATATTGGTTTTGAGTGACTATTAAAAATCTGAATTTCAATGAATCCTGTTATTGAGTAAAATATATCAAAATTTTAATGTGCTATGATGTAACACAATGAAACTGTATTATATAAGGTGAGTAAATAAATTGAGCCTCATCTTTTATTTTTAAGTCAACTGAGAAATAACCCAGCTACCATCTTGCATTTATAAAATGGCCCGGTTCAGCCACTGCATGCAATGTTGTCTCGCGACTATATATGCCAACTGAGAAATGTCTCAGCTCAGCCTCCATAGAGGTAGTTAATCGCTTTTAAATACGTTTCTCAAGGCACGAGTGGTGGCAGTATTATGTGTGCTTACACACGTTTCTTATTATACCTAAGAAAGACCATGCATAATTATAAAAATAATGTTGAATGATTCTGATTGATAAAACACTAACGATACCTGATTACAGCTATTGCATAGCCCATTTTCCGTAGGCTTTCTGTGACTCTTCAATGTTTATATCTGTGCCACTTATTGCTATCATCCAGTCGTTCAAATCTTTTTTTTTCTGTCATATTGTTAACAAATAATTCTACTAGATGAATGTTCTAAATGTCGTGTTGTTATGTGAATAGAACGGTGCAGCAATATTCTATAAAGCTTATTCAGTGTATTGATGCAGGCCAAGCAAAGCAAATGGTTTCTTCCATTGTAGTTATAATTTTAAAAGCAAAACGTTATATTCAACAGAACATATATACAATGACCAGTGTGTTACGTTTGGGACTTAGATCTTCGATATAGACTGATGAGTCCACCATGCCGCTGCCTATACATGGTTGGCGGTTCTACTCGCGTGTTCCCTTAGTGTCTGCAGTGTGACATAAAACCAATTTAAAAACAACGAATGGTCAATTTAAAAATTTTCTGTAATCTCTCGGGTAAACCTTTTTGATAATAAGTTGAGATAGTGTTCCCAAATAATTCTATAAATTTTGTACTTGTTTAACGGCTTTTTAGGATTGGAAGGAGGTATTATAATTGGGACAATAAAACTATGGCATGAATAGTAATTTTGAATATTTCAATGTACATGTATATAGCCACTTAACTATTTAATGTAATACAAGTCTCTGATATGGCTCATGTTATTTAATTTAATGAAGTTGAAAACATGTTTTTCATTTTTTATCCATACTATTTTTCTTGAAATTTATTTTGGGTCAGGGTCTCTCAAATATACAATATGTAAAAACACGTGAATATATTATACAATCATCAATTTTAAATCAGCAGTGGATTAAACAAAAATATAATCTTGTCAAAAACATTTTACAAAACTAATGATCTAAGTATGGAGGGGAAGTGATTGAACTACATTTTATACTAATTAAAATGGGAAAAGCAGGGCCTTTCAAACTGCATGTATACTGTGATTTGAATTGAATTGAATTGAATATAAAAGTGCTGTAACGATAACGATTCGCCACAATAACCCATTCACCACAGGTGCTATAATACCAATTTTGCACACCCGTTTTCAAAGTTTTGACAAATGTACTTTTTCTCAATTTTAAATTCATTCGTTACTTATATTAATTAATTATCAAAGGAAAAAATAGAATAAAAACGGCTTTTATTAAATAAGAACACATGAAAACAAACACATTTTATTACCATATGATATATATGTATGTATATTACTTGATGCATTGTATAATTGCCCATTGTTAATGTCTTGGGCTGGTCTTGCTCCCAAATTGGAAAAAAATCTAACATCATTATCTACTTTTAATAATAAAAATAATAATAATAATAATAATAATAATAATAATAATAATAATAATGTGTTAATTACACTGATTGGTGGCGCTTCGCAATGGGTTTAAAAGGATGTACATTGTAAATTACCTTAATCCACAAAATCATTAGCCTTGGTCTTTGGCTCTATCATGGCAATGGTGACTATACCACGTGAATTTTTATGATATGCCCGAGGCAGGAAAGCGGTCCAGGTTAGCTTTCATAACTATTTTTTTTACTTTATTATTCTATGGGATACTGTGTAGACGCTGATAATAATCAGGGGATTAGCGTGTAGCCCCATGTTTGAACAGTTAGAAATTCCAACACAGTTTAATGACAAAAAAACCTTGTTGAAGATACATGTATGATCTCTTGTTTCCTTTTTTCTTCTTTTCTATTTCAACTGTATTAACGTGCTTTTGTTGGAAGATACAAAAATCTGATGACATTCTGGTATATTGATTATGCATGTAGATACAGTAATTTTATATTCAAAATCAACCATAATTAACGCCAAAATACATTTCAAAGAACTTTGTAGCACCACGCTATTCTTTCCACTGTTTTATTTTCAACTGATTCTGCTAGCCAAGTTTCTCGCACCACTTTCTGCCATTTACCCTCCGTCTCCAGTTTTCCCATCAGCGTTTCTAATTCTTTGTAATTTCCACTAGCTCTAACAAGATCATGACTAGCTGCTATAACAACATATCCTCCTGAAATATGACATAAAAGGCGTAAATCGGCTATAACAACAAATTCTTCTGAAAAAGTAAGTTCCTTCCCAGCGTAAATAAAAAAAATTCTAAAACAACACATACATTATGTATAATTCTCCTGAGGTGTAAGTGCAGCTTTAGAATTTGCCGTGAGTTAGATGCATTTAATGAGCGGTGATAACTGCAAGAATATTCATTCGAACCTTTTTTCATAATGATTATTCATTTTCAGCATTTACACTTTCATATACATGTAGTTATTTGTCTTTCGATACTGTGTTTTATCGATAACTTATGAAGGGGCCCTGTAGCCTTTATTGTTAATGTCTTCCATTTATTGCTTTCTATCTAAGGGATAATGGTTCTAACTCTACTGAGGCCACGAACATGTTTCTTCATATGATACCAATGCTTACTTCCGGGAATGTTTTTATCTCAAATACATGTTTGTTTAAACTAAACTAAACGATAATTGTAGTAAATGTAATAAAGTTTACCTGACTTGACGAGCCTTATCATCTCATGTATGGCGCCACAAGGCACGTGAGCTTCATTTGCATATATTCCACCTCCAGTTAATACGTCATAACTGTCTGAAGTATAGTAATTAATTGTACTAAGCTATGTGATAAAGACAGTAGACAGTAGTAGACATTGTGCTTATAACTGTATGTAAAGATACAAGTCTGAAATAATCATTTGTGATATATTTACCCTCAGCTATGACAAAAACAAAAGAAAAAAGAGAGAACGAAAAACACAAATCAGGCAATTCTTTTTTATTCCCTATTATGGTGCTAACAAATATATCCCATATGTCGTTTTTTCCAAAAGATTTCGAGTAAAATCTAATGATAGTAAATTTCGATCGTGATATACCTAGCTGTTATTTTGTAATTCGCTTTTAGTAAGAAAATGCCGAGGCTTTTTTGTTGTTGTTTTTTTTTAGTTTTACGTGCGTTTAGCAATTACTAGCCATTTGCCATATTTTTGTAAAATTTTCGTCTAATCCTACATTATTTCAGGAACGAACGGGCATCCAAGTAGACCCAATGCGTTCGGCACATTTTCCATGCCAATTATGTGGTTAGAATTTTTCATTAAAATAATCACCCCTTTTGATCTAATATATTATTATATAGTAAACAAGGTGCTGGTATAGTAATTTTGTTCTGGATGATCAAGGGGTGATTTTTTTATGATAATTTGACTATAATTGGCATAGCAAATGTGCCGAACGCCTGTGAGTAGAACCACAGACGTTCCGTTAGCTAGCTGAATAGGTTCCTTACATTAAAGAATCCAAAGTCTCTGTCGGAATTCGAACTTTCAGCGGTGAGTGGACAAGTGGTTTGAAGTGTTTGAAGTGTCAAATTCTAGATTGTTCAATAAGATGTATAGCTATATGTGTACATCATTGTGTAGGCATTACACACCACTTGACGGATATGCATTTGTTGTCATTTTCACGAGGATTTGTGTGCAACTAAACAATAAGCAATTCTTTCCAAACACCCCTCTTCGTAAAAAAAGATTTTATGCTTACAAAAATTTTACTCAACTTTTATTCATTTTCACAAATTTATACGTACTTGCAGGAATACTTGACGGTGATTCTGTGATAAACTCAACAAAGTAATTCTCATACAAGTTGTTCTTACGCGCCTCATCTAGCATGGCTTCTGATGGCTCCAATGCGTCTATGTGCTGAAATCCATGTTTCCGTAGCTGAAAGAATAACAAATAAAGTTTCCTTTTAAAAGGAAAGGCTTGCACAGTTGTGACTTCATCCCAACCCTTTAATTTTTTTTTTTTTTTTTTTTTTTTTTTTGGTTTCAATTTATTATCACAATTTTTTTGAATTACGGTATTTGTATATCATAAAGGGTTTGTTTTAGTTGGGGTTTTTTTTTTTGGAAAAACGAATATTTTTTGTCAAAACGATTTGAAATCTATTCTCTATTGTATAAAACTAATAAAGAAAATGATCACTCGTAAAAATACTATCGTGGAGATCTAGGGAAACAAGTGTGCACATTTCATTTCCCCTTTTTCGCAGAGAAATCATTCGTTTGCTTTATAGACAAGTAAATGCACTAAAATACTTCGTTACGTGGTACCAATTAATAAGCATGTATCAACTATGTTACACGATCACAAATACGATGCGCTATCTGTAGATCAGCACGTGGCAAGGTTAATAATATGCATGGGCTATTTTTAGATTACCTCACCAAGAAGTTGAATTGCGTTCAGTAGATCTAAATATAACTCGATCATGCGTGATTTGGTAAGGAGACAGTCACCATTCTCTATATTGTATAAAACTAATACAGACAAAAAACAATTATAAAAGAAACTAACTTTTGCGTCTTGAAAAACAATTGAAACGGAACAATGTCGTTTATAATTTATTACGGTTTAAACCGATAAATCAAGTAAAAATAGAAATCCTATTTATATAAACAAACTGGGATTACCGAAGTAACTAAAATAGCTTAGATTTCCGTAATATTACTTCGTCTGATTCCGCAGTATGACGGAATCGCCCGAATTGTCACGATTGCAATCGGAACTACATCGGATATTATCATTAATCCGAAGAGTGACGGAAAAGGCCGAAAAGTTGCGATTGGCACGATTGCAGCTGGTTTCCCGTTCAATCATGCACTAACAATTGGAAACAGGAAACCACCTTACCGGAACAAGTTATTCAAAACAAATGGCTTGCTGCAAGCCTTAAAACGTAAGTGACATATACCTAACCGAAAAAGAGTCTTTCGTGAAGTATGAGTAAAATTTCTCAAGATTATGGTCAAAATGAGCATACATACATACATGCACACACACATGTGGTAATTTTTAAAAATTGTTTTGGTCCAAAATAGTTGACGCATAGGCTTGATATATACTTTATAGTTTATATGAGCAATGACCGTTTTTGCTCAAGGAAACAAACGACTTCTCTCTGATCTTCCAACTGAGGAGAGGGTAGCATGAAATCAGCCAGCAGCCTTGGGTCGCGTGAACGCGAACGTAAAAAAAATCCAACAAACGATTTTCTATTGTCAGTGTTCCATATCGACGTGCGCGAGACGTTAGTGTGAAACGCCATGTGAGCATGAATTTGAGGTGACTGAAAAGGTCATAGAATTTATCAGAAAAAAATCCCTGTAGTTCATACTCTTTAATTAAGTGGGAATATGTCCGAAAGGTTCCTCTTTTTGTTTTCGTTTGTGCTTGCGTGCATGTAGATATGCGAAACCACCCAAAACAGTCAGAAACAGCGATCAATTATCTAATGCTTATCTTAAAATTTCAAACGGGAAAAAGACGAAATAATCCGCTTTTTACGTACACTACACGCATGTATAAAATAGTGTGTCCGTGAAAAATCACGTTTAAGTTTCATGCTCACGTGTTTCGTGCACGTCACGATCACATACGAATGTATGTCGGCCTTAATCGATACACGTCATGACCGCTTAATCTAAATACCAACGAGATCGTTTTCGAACAGCGACAGCTACAGCTGTTTTTACATTCTGCATGGTTCTCACAACGCACAAACAGTACGGAACCTAAAGTTTTTAGCAAAGAACGGTTTGTGCGGACGTCGCTCGTACATTGGTTAGGCTTTAAGGAGCAGCCATAGCAATAAAAGGAACCTATGGGTCCTGGGAAACATAAACTGGACACTTGGAGGACAGTTCTTTTTAAAGAGCTGAGGTTTGCACTGTTTCGAACTTATGGCCGTCGATTGTTCCGGGCGGCCGACTGCAACAGTATTGCAACCCGATCCTTATGGTCAGTCATCCTGTATACATAGGATGGTTAAATTACGAACAGATATCGTATCCCACTCGTCGTTATTGAGGAACATTAAAAGATCAGAAATACATGAATTATATTCTAAGCCAATCGTTACAACATGATTATGACCATGTTAATCGGACCAATTTACAGGTTTTACAAAACAGAGCCATCGGTGATTGATCGGTAGTTTGTTGAGCCAAATTATGTAGTGAACCGATGACAACATATTTAACACCGATATCACCTATTGGTCACCTGTTTTCCACTTATCAACTGCTATTGGGGAAAGATAAGTTTCATCGGTGAAAAATTACCGATTGGAGTTTTTAAACATGTTTAAAATTCTAGATCGGTGAAAATATTTTACAATTAACCGACAGAAACCGATATCACGAGATATGCAAGCTCTTAATCACCGATATCGCCGATCGGACAAAGATGACCAATTATGAATCACCGGCCATATCTGACGGAAAGGGTTTAACCACTGATGACTAGCTATCAACCACCGATTAATCAGCGTTACGCCCGATTTAGCTCCGATTTACAAACGATAAAAACCGATTTATTTCAGCATTTTTACAACCGATCCAACCCCGTTTGAGTTTGCTTTCTGTCACCGATGGCCGTTTACACAGAAAACCAGAAATAAAATCACGCATGACAACCGATCATAACAGCGAGTAAATTTGAAATTATATGACCGATTGGGGACCGACCGTCTGTGTAACTGGTGCTTAAATAGATATATACAATCGACGTATACGTGGACATACAATGTCGGAATTGCCTTAAAAATGGAGTAATATTCCAGACCAACATTTTCAAGCTTCTTTTGTCAACGCAGCGTCCCCTTTAAGATAGCATTGTATATGTATGCCTAAAGTTTCGTTAAGGACAAATTACAATCTTATACATACATGTATATAGCATTATCGCCATAGAAAACTGTAATTATATTGAAATATAACACTGTTCGTTTTATTCCAATACTCCATGTTATTAATTCATGTATATCAAGTGAAAAGATTCAGTACACATTCGTATTGAAACAGAAACAATAATAAATATGTTTTAAATGGCATGTCTAGATATTTACTGGGAAATTTCAACATATACATTTATACCTGAATTTTCATTGAATAGTTGGTTATGAAAAATTACATACACTTAAATGTTATTTTCATGCTAAGAAAATGGAAACATAAATTCTTCGTTGTTACAAACGCGTTAAAAACGGTTTATTTAAAGCATTTTTTTTAGGATTTATAGAAATATTTATTCAAACATTTAGCAGTTCGTTTTTACCAGTTATATATAGTTATCGCCCGACGCTTAGCAATTTTCCTCCCCCTTTCTATATTACGCTATGCCTGGGATAGTCTACCATAAAGTATTTATGTACTAGATAGACACAGAGACAGAGATGAAACAAAATACTACCATGCATGGTAATGCGAGCGTGTACCATTTAGAAAACTAGTATAATTTAAATCTTGCCTCTTTTGCTACAAGCCCGGTGCCAGCACCAATGTCCAGAATTGTAGTGTTTCCTCGCTTGTCCTCCGGATAAAGGCCTTGCAGTATCTCGGCAATTTTGAGATAATTATTAAATCTGTATTTTTCTGAATCCTGTAATATTAAATTTCTTATAATGTAACGCAATGAGAAATCTATTTTACAATGTGAGTAAATCTTGAATTCTTAAGTGAACTGAGAAATAAACCAGCTACTATTTGCATTTTAATACGAAATGGCCTGGCTTAGCCACCGTATACAATATAGCCTGGCTGCGAAATGGCCCTGCTCAGCCTCCATAGAGCTAGACATAAAAATTAATGTTCCGATATAAAGTAGCAAAGTGACTCGAGTGAAACATATAGAGCATATACATGTACACATTTCTTATTGAAATATCGCGCATATTATGAAAAATATGTTAACATGTAAAAGATTAAAATCATAATTATTAAAGCATTATTTTCACCAATTTGAAAATTGGTGTGGTGGATGTTATTTTTCCAAATGAGATCTAATTAATGAGGTTAAATTTTTCTGAATAATAAGAATAACGATACCTTGTTGTATGTACTAGCCCATTGTCCGTAAGCTTTCTGTGAGTCTTCTATGTTTATATCAGCACCACTTATTGCTGTCATCCAGTTATTCAAGTCTTTTTCTGTCATATTGTTAAAAATATGTATATTCTACCAGATTATGTTCATCAATAAACAGTGCACCAACAAATAGAATGATGCAGCAACATGATTACATGTATTCAATGAAGCTTACTCAGTGGATGGTGGCAGGCCAAGCAAGGTAAAATAATGGTTTCCTCGCTAGCAGTAATAAAGCAAAGGAGATTCACAAATGTTACATAATTACTCAACAAAAAGGCATGTTGTTTACGTTTAAGACAAAGAATATATAGGTCAATCTCTTTTAAAGCTCATTGAATAATCAATATAGGCTGCTAAACACATTTAAAGAAGCTATCATCAAGTCACTGCCTGTATGGCTGGCAGTTCTATTAATTCACGTGTCCCCTTTGTGTGCACAAATTATTTCGTGAGAACTACGCACGTTAATAAATAAAGATTCCACCATGTATATCCAGTAACGCAGGAATGTGGAAATAACGCAGAAATTGTGCAATATCAACGCAGAATTGTACAATCTAGTGGCTTAAACGAACGAAAGTAAATGGACCAATATTTTCCAATGAACACCAAATTAAAAAAATGAATTAGCGCATACGGTTTCTGAGACATTATACTTTTAAACCATGAAAATGTTTAGTTTTCAAGATTTTTCGTGAAAATGACGAGCTGGCTAGCCGTATGCGGATTTTTAGTTTCGTTGATATCTTTAAATACAATAACATACATATTATTACTTTATGATTTTGTATAGTCGTTGTACCTGAGACATTTTCCAATCTACTCGTGTCATATAACACTTAATTTAGCAACACCGAATTCGTGAATGAAACACTGAAGCAACAGCGGTTAGCTATTAAATCTTATAAAACCAGCTTCAACTTCCTTCGATTGTTATACGGCACTTGTAGTTTGACAAATGTCTTAGGTATACGAAAAAGTAATGATTTAAATGTGTTATATGTACATATTTATTTGACGAAACACAAAAGTCGCCTTCAAAACGGTAATCATGATGTCTTTCTCACATAAGATTTCCTGAAAAAATGTTATATGGTCGTAGCAGTCGTATGCGCTAATTCATTTCCTAAAGAACAAAATATTTTGGTTCGTTTACTTACTGTGTTATTCGTTTTGGCAATAGCGTTGCACAGATTCGGCGTTACTTTTACGTTATTTTCATATTCTTGCGTTACTGGATATGCATGGTGGATTCGGCAATAATATTTTCCATAGAGCTCTGCTAGATACGGTTGCCCCTGGTAGACGCTTTTATTTTGTATGATTATGCTCCAGTAAATGTATCTAGTTAACAACTGTTTATAATTTAGTATTTGTTCTAACGAGTTTTACAGGATTTGGACATAAGGCTATTATAAACTATCAAGGCATGAATAGTAATTTTGAATATTTCAGTATGTACAATGTATGGCTCATTAAATTAATGAATTATAATATTTCGTTCATTAAAGAAGAACGTTTAAACAATATTATAATTTGCTGGTTGTTAAACAACAACATTCTCTACTGCAGTTATTTTTCATAAAATTTTTGATGAAATTTATTTTAGTAATTTCTTTTATATGTACATATGTAATTGTTAATTGTCTCCCAAATTTGAAAAAAATGAATTATCGAAAGATTATCATAACCTTTTTAACTCCTAGAAAATATATATTAATTAATTTGGTATATTATCAACGTATTTAAATGTAACGAATATGAAACCGAAAGACAGCTTAGTACTATTTGCCTAAGTTTTATTTCACCCGGAAGCGCCTCATTGACAAGCGAATCGTAATAACCTCCCTTGATGTCAGGCCCTCCATTGAAACGGGAAGTAGGTCAGGAAAAACAACACAAAATAACAGAAGAAAACGAGAAAACAGTGATAAAGAGGGGATTTGTATAAGACAAGTAAGAAACTATTATTCTTAAACAATTATACGATGAGGTTTTATTCCGTTAGTATTTATTTTTTCTCAAATACACCAATTTAAATGCGATATATTTTTGTGACTAGTCCGAGTCGGCTCCAAGGGCCTCAAATCGATAGACCGTTCTGAATTTGCCTTGTTTGACTCGTGATTCTCATAGTTGTGTACTGACACGTGTCTTGAAATAACACTTATTTTACAGATATAAGTCTTCATCCAAATATGAAAAAGGTAAACAATGTGTTCGTTTAAATACAAACAATATGGGTGCATGTCAAGATATTGTCAAAACGTCATTATCTTTAAGGGAGTTAATAGTGTCGCGTTTTTGTAAAGTTACTTCCCTTCATAAATGGAGGCCTTACCCGGGGTACAGAAACAATACAATTTAGTACACTAACACATTCACAGTTACATGTATACAACACAGGCACCAGTATCGGACCTGGGGAGAAAATATGACCACATTGATAAAAAAAAACCTCTGTGTTCAAAACCTCATGTGTCAAAAACCAAAAAAAAACAAAAAATTGCCCCGTTAAAAATATATTAGATCTATATAGTATATATATAGTTATAAGATTGTTTGGTAAACAAACAACACAAACCACGGATTTATATGTAATATAAATCCGTGCACAAACTGAACTTGAAATAATAAATTATTCTCTAAAAAAAGATATCTTGCAGAAAGATTTTAAATTTTGCAAATATCTCAAAATAAAAAAAACTAATATTGATTTTGTACAAAATAAGATGATAGACCTTTATCAAGAGTTTCATTAATTAATTAGTTAAAACAATATCTTATTTCAATTAAACATACATATACGCGATGTGATTACATTCAAAAGGAAAAAAGGATTGAGTAGAAAGCTACAAGCTTTTTTGTAGAAACTCTCGCCTTATATTGTCTTGATTAAGCCTGTACAGAAAAAATTTGCCAGTGCTAGTCCTGGCAGTGCTAGATATCTTTTGGCAGTTTCAGATTTAAGTCCAAATTAAAAAGGAAGATAAAACTGTTGTTTGATGACAGTCTCTTGTAAGTTTATGAATATTGTATCTTTCCACTTTTCTGCATTTTGTAACTCATTTAGTGTGAAGTGTCTGATTGTTAGAATTGCCTATGTGAGTAACTGACTGATAAGTTCCAATTAAACTGAGGTTTTAAACAATCTGACTAGAATGTGGCCTACTGGTAACCTAGTGGACTTCAGAGTATCAAGGGTTTGTAAACTAAGAAAACCTTTTTTACTTCTAGCCTACTTTATACATTTATAGTATAGAGTTACAGTCATCCAAACATCAGATATATTAGTTGCAGACTTTATTAAAGTGAGCAATAAAATACCATCACAGCTCTCTTGTATATAGTGATTGTCATGTTCGGTGTCAGTAATTCCACTGATAGTCTAAATGTCTTCTTATGCTTTACAGTTTAAATGCCTTCTTATGCTTTGAATTTGTATTCTGTTTTGGACATTGAATTTAATAATATGATAGTATGTTTTCAGTCACTGTCTCAAATATTCCTGATTCCTTTTTCCTCACTATTAGCTCAATAGGGAGAGCATCTGATATGTAATCCAGGGGTCTGTGGTTCAGTCTTTGGGTGAGGTGAAATTTCTCCACAACATTTAATCTTAGACATTGAGTCCATGCTTATTTGTATCTTACGGCTGATTCAGAAATGACATGGGGTAAGAAGTTGCTGACACTTGCAGTGTAATTGGTAATTATTACTGGTTTGATATCCAGGAAACAGGGTAAGACGGATAACATAGATATGTCCAAATATGTTTTTAAATAATTGGCATGAAAACAAAACAAATTATATTTTTTTAATAAATATATTGACTAACTTGATTTAATCATTTTATAGGTAGAAAAATGGAGGGTGATTTCTCACAGGAGACATTAGAGTCATCATGTATCTCGCAAACAATTGACGAGTTGACACAACTTCATGAGGCTGCTACCTCTGCTGCAAGTAAACAAATCTCTTCACAACAAAATGTTGCTAGTATCCACCACAGCAGTGAAAGTAACAGTCATCCAGTCTCATCAGAAAGTAATACGGAAGATTCTATATCCACTGATGAGCTGATGGCCTATCGCAACAATGTATCTGATTCCAATACAATTCATTTACCAGAAGGACAAATACTAACTCCCCATTATGTAATTGTTGAAGATCCTATATCACTTCATAATTATGCAGACTTTTCAAGTCCTGAAATGTTATCCAGTTTAGGACTTGCAGAAGAAAAGACTCCTCCTAGTACATTGGATAAAGTTGCCCCACCAAATACTGCCAATAGTTTTGAAATTTTTGTTAGCACTGAATCAAATGTTGTGACATCTTCTGCTGAGATGAAAACAAAAGTTACTGATTCAAGAAGTATAAGAAAAGAAACAATATTAACAGTTCCTGTAATAGATATACAGAAATCATCAAATTATGCTGAGTCAAAACAAGCTGATGACAACAGGAGATCTGTGACATTAAATGAAGTTCGAGAACAATTAAAAGAGCATTTGAATAGAAAGGAGACTGAGAACCTAGAGTTCCGTAGAATGAAAGTGACTGGTGTAAGAGAACAGACAAATTTGTCTCAGAAAGTAGGCAGTTTACACAATAGTAAGAGTGTGTCAGCAAATTTTTCTACTGACTCTATTGGAAATGTGAAAATTTCACAAGTGAGTTCACTAGCCAATTGTGCTGAAGCTGGAACAAACACTGATATTGATTTTATGGCTGATGACACAAGGCAAGTGAAGAAGCAAAAAACAGAAGAAATGATAACACAGGAGAAAACCATGTTTTCAGAAAACCTTGGTCTTATTCCTGCTGACAGTGAAACAAAGATCATTGCAGAGAGGGCCAAGAATGCTACGAAAGGGGTGCGGACTCGTAAAAGTTTCGAACTCGGAACTCTAACTGCAACCGTTGAACCAGTTTCTTTTCCAAGTGTCGTCAATAGAAAGGATGAAAATAAAAGTAATGATGTTGATATGGATGAAACTGGTCTGTTGTTAGGTCATACACATAAACCGGGCTGTTACAGATGTGGCTCGTGTGCAAAGAAGTTTATGACTATATGTAAGCTACATGATCATTTGCATGACCATTGTTTTGGTGGTTCTTATCACTATGACCATCTTTTAAAGACCGCTTTTCCAAAATATGACACAACTTGTTCCTATACACAGACAGGTTTTGATTTTGATAAAGAAAACACTCTGAAAATCTTAAAACCAAAGAAAAGTAAACTGAAATTGAAATTTAAGACAGCCAAACCATCAGTTTTAAAGGGATCTGCCTCTTTTACTGGAAAAAGAAAGAGAGGAAGACCCAGAAAGATTCAAGTTGTCGAAGACAATACTGATTTTGATGAGAATGATATGGAAATTCTAGGTGATCAATCTGACATTAACAAAAATGTGACTGTAAAAGAAGAGCCTATTGGATATAATATTGATGGAACACTTTTTGATACTTCAGAAATAATTCCAGAGGACACATTTGATACAGTTAAAGACAGTACTGAAAATATGGAAGATAATACCAACACAACAAGTAGTTTTGTTGATAATTATCTGAAAGAACTAGATGATGATCATGATGTTAATACAATTGCTCAAGCTGAGGTAGAAGATCCCGAGAAAGAGAAAAAGAAAGCTCGTAAAAGGAAAAGTAGCGTTCCGAGAAAAATAACTGTTAGTGAAGAATCAGATGGAGGAAAAATTGTGAACAGCAGAGTGAAACCAGAAATGAAGATAACATGTGAATTTTGTCCAAGTAAGTTTCAGTATACACGTGGTCTAATACGGCACGAGCAAGAGAAACACGCGGACCAGATGAAATTTGATTGTGATAAGTGTGACCAGAAATTCATGAGAGAATATAACTTAGAGAGGCATAAACTCTGTGCTCATACAGAAGGCAAGTCAAAGTTAATACAACAGAAGAAAGGAATTTATCGAGAAAAGAAAAAACTGGGACGAAGACCACAGGAAAAATTACCAGATGCCGACACTCCTTGTGAAATATGTGGTGTTGATGTACCCTCATCCAAGCTTGATATCCACATTCGTTTACACACAGGTATTTTCATAATAATTATTTTTAGATATTTTCAAACTAAGTACTGACTAAATACTGAACAGTGCAGAGCATAACGATCTACTACTCTGTTCTCATGGATATAGTCAGTTACTGCTAGCAGGGAGTTTAAAAATTACTGCCATTGATTTTTATTTACATTGGCAAGCATTATGTATATAGATAGCCCATCGTATTTTAGCTGCCAATTATTTGTAACATCAATAAACATTTCAACATAATTGACTGAACAAAACAATTTTTTATAGCGTTGCTTTATTAGGACTTTTGCCAGCTACTAGTAAGTGTACTGACAGTGTATATACAACAAAGATTTGTGGCAATATGAAGTGTGTATGTAGATCAACTTGAGCCGTCCATGTAAAACAAGAGCACCGCTAGGCAGAGCATTATATGCTCGAAAGTGTTTTTTTTTTTTATATTAAGGATGAAGCATTTGTAAGACATTACATAAATTAAATAAAATATTATCTCCTTCCAATAGCAATCCTCCTATAAAGTTTGAATATTGTGGGCCAAATAGAAATTAAGTTATGCTCCGGAAACTGTTTTCAGTTTTAAAGTAATAGTGACCTTGACCTTTAACCTTGTGACCCCAAAATCAATAGGGGTATTCTACCCAATATGGACATTCATCCTATGAAGTTTGAATATTGTGGGCCAAATAGACCTTAAGTTATGCTCCGAAAACTGTTCTCAGTTTTAAAATAATAGTGACCTTGACCTTTGACCGTGTGACCACAAAATCAATAGGGGTCTCCTTCCGAATATGTACAATCATCCTATGAAGTTTGAATATTGTGGGCCAAATGGAACTTAAGTTATGCTCCGGAAACTGTTTTCAGTTTTAAGGTAATAGTAACTTTGACCTTGTGACCCCAAAATCAAAATGGGTCTCCTACCCAATATGGACATTCAGCCTATGAAGTTTGAACACTGTGGGCCACATGGAACTTAAGTTATGCTCTGGAAACTGTTTTCAGTTTTAAGGTAATAGTGACCTTGACCTTTCACCTTGTGACCCCAAAATCAATAGGAGTCTTCTACCCAATATGGACAATCATCTTATGAAGTTTGAACACTGTGGGCCAAATGGAACTTAAGTTATGCTCCGGAAACTGTTTTCAGTTTTAAGGTGATAGTGACCTTGACCTTTGACCTTGTGACCCCAAAATCAATAGGGGTCTTCTACCCAATATGGACAATCATCCTATGAAGTTTGAATGTTGTGGGCCACATGAAACTTAAGTTATGCTCCGGAAACTGTTTTCAGTTATAAGGTGATAGTGACCTTGACCTTTGACCTTGTGACCCCAAAATCAATAGGGGTCTTCTACCCAATATGGGCAATCATCCTATAAAGTTTGAATGTTATTGGCCAAATGGAACTTAAGTTATGCTCCGGAAACCAAATTGCTAACGGACGGACGGATAGACGGACGGACGCCAGGGGGTATAACATAATATGCCCGAAATTTTTTCGGGCATATAAAAAGATAACACATTTATTTGAGACGTAAGTTTTGCTTCTAAACGTGGGTTTATTTTTCAGGTGAACGTCCGTTTATTTGCCATGTTTGTGGTAAGGGGCTTATCAGTGAAAAGAAGCTGAAGCGCCATCTGTTGATACATTCTGAGATCCAGCGTCACACATGTGATGTTTGTGGACAGGGTTTCTCTATGAAATACAAACTACGAACACACATGTTTATACATACAGGTAAGTTTATACTGTTTCCTATAATTATGTTTTTGTCATGAGATTTATATATAATTTTTCTAGAGTAATTGATAAAGAACCTTATGTGCAAGTTTTTTAATCAATTTAATATTTTACTTGATTTTACTAAATTTTTCATTATACCACATTTGATTATATGCTATCATATAATTTTTTGTAGAAATCTGTTATTGTTCTGTTTCATCAAGTGATATATTTAAGTTCAGCAGTTTTTGTGAACTGTTTACACAAGATATAAAAATATCATAAATTACATACATGCACACTCTATTAATTATCCCTGGTGCATATTACATACTTAACTTTATCAGTATGTCACAGTAAAGTACTAGTACGCTATATGCAATCATCATGGTCATTGGTTAACTTTGTTACAGGTTTTTTGGCTTCAGCAGTGTTAGAAACACAAAAAATTTATAACTATAATTGTTTCACAGGCCACAAACCATACTTGTGTTCAGTATGCGGAGCAGAGTTCAATAATAGTACATCACTGCTGCACCATAACCGTACAGTACACCTGGGAGACAAGAGGTTTGAGTGTACTATATGTGGTGGAAGGTACGGTAAAAAGTCACAACTTGAAGAACATATGTTCAGTCATTCCAGTGAAAGGACACAGACTTGCAAGTATGACCATTGTTCTGTAATGCCATTAGAATATTCTTTTATAATGATATACAAGTATTGTGTTACATAGCAGAATTATTATCTAAAGGTTTTCTTGTGTTTTAAGTTTTTTAAAAAATTGTATAAAAAAACTTGTTTGATGTTCTGGTTTGTTTCATTCAGATTATTGATCTTCTTGTAGAACCATTTTTTTTCTTCTTCTTTATCCATGATGATGATACTGAACAGGGGTTCCTCCTCTTTAGTATGAAGTTGGAGAATAAATGTTTTGAAAACCTCAAAAAGCAGTTTCACGTAACTTTCGTAAACCTAGAAAACAATGTCTTGAAATATAAAATGTCAACTAACTGGTGCATGTATGTTTCCATAACTAGTTGTAACTTGAGACCATTAGATCAATAGAAAACTTTTAACAATTCAGCCAATTATATAAAAAAATTTCATAGCCATTAGATTCTTCATTTCCATAAAAATAAATCATGATAATTAAAGTGTTTTCATTTTTAGGTTCTGTGGGAAATCGTTCAAGCATGCAAAGAGTTTACGTCGTCATGAGGTCACACACGTTTCTGACCAGAAATTCCAATGTGACCAATGTGAGAGTAAATTTTCACGTAAGGACAATCTTGAACGACATAAGATGTGCCACTATGAAGCAACACTACAGTGTAGCTTCTGTAAAAAGAAGTTCCGTGATCGCCAGCCACTTCTCGAGCACGAACAATTTCATATTAATCAGCGAAAGCACACATGTCAGATATGTAAAGAAAAATTTCAAGACGAGACATATTTCTATAACCATATGGAGAAGAACCATGGCATTACTCGTGACATGGTTCCCATGCTCAATGCCATTGCAAATTCTCCAGTAAAGGAGGTAAAATCCAGACGATCTCTTGCGGAGCATTCTTTACAAAATCTGATTGATCCAATAAAAGGCACAAGTTCTTCTGAAGATGGTCATTTAGGGTTATCTGCCCAGCCATCAAATACTATTGACACACTTAACCTGAGTATGAGTGTGGCAGGAATCTTGCCAACATCTGTCTCTGACCTTGGGAATGGTTCCCAGTCAAATTTGCCAACTGGTTCCTTGTCTCTAAACAATCTTACACAGCAGGTGTTTAATGTTGGCACAAATACACCAGGTATGAATATAAACAATGGCCGAGGAATTGTAAACCAGCCAGGCAACCCTGTATCAACCGGAACAGTGTTTCCAGGAATGAGCGATGTTCAGAGAATAGCACTGAATGTGATGAACACAGGGGTGACAGGACTAGATCAGACGGCAGGAAATTTAACACTTAATACTAATACTGTTTTAACAGCTGACCAGGAAAGAATAATTCAGGATGCAGTTGAACCAAGTATTCCAAATATGCACGGGCAGGGTTATAGATTACAAAACCTTTTTAATCAGTAGTATACCAGTACTTGTTGTTGTTAATTATACCATTGTTATTGCATGTAAATATGTCCTTATATTCTACACAATGATATATAATACTAATAGGAGTTACAATTTGATTTTAGAGGTTCCTGTCACAGTTATACATTATTCAAGGTTAATTTTTGTGTCGTCTGCAGCAGAATAGTGGCAACATATAGAGATCACTTCTCCGTCATCTGTCTGTACTACCGAATAAGGAGGGGGCCATCTTACTGTCAGCAGAACAAAAGTGAACAATAGAGTTTATTCTGTAACAATAAAATAAATGGACACTTGTCCCAATTTGATTGCATGTCCACCTGTTCTGTCTTTGGTTACATCTAAATACTTACAAAATGTAGGTGGCTACATAAACAACAGATAACTGTACTTTTCTTTGATGTCATTCATTCCCCATGTTTTCTCTTATGTGGTTAAAAGAAAAATTGAGAGAACAATAGAGTAGCCACTTAAGCATCCAGTCTGTCCATCACAAAATTTGTCTGAACTACTCCTCAAAAAACTACAGGTGCATTTTTATTTAAACATCAGAAATGATTAGTACCAAGTCGAGTTATGCATATTATCAGAATTTTCCGTTTATATGATTTTTGTCAGATTATGGTCCCTTAATGATTTTTAAAGTTTGTCCAGACTACTACTCTTATACTACTAATGCAATTAGAATTAAACTTTACAGGACTGATTGGTATTTCAAGTACGTAATCATATTTTCTCCACTTAAGTGATTTTGGCTAAGTTATGGATCTTGAATAAAAAAGACATTTTGGCCCTTTAATGATTTTTGTTTGGCCTGCTACACAATAGCTGCAACATGCTACACAGTAGCAGAACAAACTGTTCATTACCCCTCAATACAACTGTTTAATTAATTGGCTATGATCAGGCGACATTTGATCACTAATTGCTCTTGTTTATAATATATGTGTCTGGTAAGGTGGCATAGTGAGACTTTTTTAGAAAAAGAAAATCTGTTCCATTTTAGCATTTATCTTAATAAGACTCTATTTTTCTTATGATGTAAAATAAGCATTACTTTACTAAATAACTTTGAGACAGGACTTTATTTGCTAGTTACAATACAGACATCAAATCTATCTCAGATACAAGATTTTGATAATTAACATTTACTTAGCAAAGTACAATAGCTACAATAAACATAATTATACTTTCACAATTTCGAAGAACTTAGAAATTTTTGATTTTCAGAAATCATGATATTTACTTGTCATTTTGTTCATACATTGTTAGTTTGTTAAAGGTTTTTTGCTGTATTTTTCATTTATCTTTGAATAGTGTCATCAATATTATTATCTTGTAGGATTCCTTTTGCTACCAGAAATTAGTCATGTGTATTACACCTTTTGACTTTTTTTTCTAAAGGAATAAAATATATAGGTTTGCCTATAGGTTTAGTGTAGTAAGTCTTTACTGTATCTTTACAATTGTGGTGTAAACAAAAATTATATCAATAAATGTTCATAGAATAGTAGTAAAATGTGAACTACATAATGGAAGACTGATAAGAGTATGTTACTATTGAATAATCAAGTGTGACAAAATAAGGGATTGTTATTTATTATACGTGATTTTATATGATGACTTTTGTTAACTAAGTCAGCCTATTCAGTATTGTTTTATGAAGTATTTATTAGTCCCCTACCGGTTTAACCGGAGGGGACTTTAGGTTTACCCTCCGTCCGTCTGTCTGTCAGTCCGTCAGTCCGTCCGTCCACAAAACTGGATCCCGCGATAACGCAAAAAGTACTGAAAATATTTTTATGAAACTTGATATATGGATAGATGGCAGTATGGAGATTATGCACGTCTTTTTCTTTTCTTCCTATGTTGAAAATTTTGGTTGCTATGGCAACAAATAGTCTGAAAATATGGCAAATTTAACACATAAACTGGATCCAGTTATAACTCAAAAAGTACTGAAAATATTTTTATGAAACATAAAATATGGGTAGATGGCAGTCTGCAGATTATGCACATCTTTTTCTTTTCTTCCTATGTTGAAAATTCTGGTTGCTATGGCAACAAATAGCCTAGATTTCAAGATTTCTGATTTAATTTTTTCAGCTTTTTCACTATAAGTTCTTTATTTCTTAAGGTGTTTACTTCAAACTTTAAATATAAGTTTCTGGTCATCAACCACATCATATGTGACAAGGTTTACAACTCTAGCACAAAAATTATCAGTATTACCTCCCTTGAACTTAGAATTTTTATGAAAAAAAATGTTGTCTTTTTTAAATAACTTCTTTATTTCCTAATGTACATGTATCTACTTCAAACTTCATATATACCGTAAAATTCCTAATAAATGCCCCTCCCCTTATAAAGGCCCCCAGGCCTTTTGATATGAAAAACAATCTACACATTAGTGCTGAACTCATGAGTAAATCCATAATTTTATTCAAATCATTCAGAATCCATTTAAAATCTTAACACTTTTTAATATTATAACCAACACTTGCTAACACTAAATGTATTTACAATGATTTAGGAAAAACTGTGTTGTAATAATAGCCCCCCTTTTGGAAAATGTTTAGCCCCCTGGGGCATTTAATAGGAATTTTACGGTATGTTTCTTATTATCACTCAACATTTTTGAGGAGGTTAAATACTCTAGCAAGACTATTTCCAGAATTATGTCCCCCTTGAACTTAGATTTTTTTCGAGAAATTGGTATTTTTTACTCAAACTTCTTCATTCCTTATAGGATTTACTTTAAAATCCCACATCGTAATAATATGACAAGGTTGTATGAACATAATTGCCTTACTAGGCAGGGAAACTTAACACATTACTGTGAAATAGACAAACTTAGAACTCAAAAGATTTAAGTTCATTCATGTCATTCATTCACTGGTAAAATTGAAATCAGAATGTTGCTGGGGTTCTAACCGGTAGGGGACTTATGGATTGCTTGCAATACTATGATAATTGCTTGTTAAGATTGAATTGATCAAGATTTAACTTATGGGTCAGTAGCGTTCTCAAAAAATACATTTCCTTGAATCACCACTAGAAATGGGAAATAAGATGGTGTATAACACAAGTTTGATTGTAATTAACTTTGTCAGCAGTTTGTACTTTGAACATGAAAATCATAAATGTTTTGGTTATGTATTTGGTACAAACAGTCAAATGTTCTCATAAAATATCTTTATTTCTGTGAAAATAATTTGATTTTTTCACCTAGGCGAAATATTCTAAGGTACAAATTTTATATATCTAATATGCTTATAGTCATAGTTGTGTTAAAGAGATTTATAGTTATTGATCAATCTTTGTGAGAAAAAAGATTTTTGCATGACAAATTGTGTATGAATGATATGAAATAATATTTTAGTCACAACCTATCTATACATGGTAATGTCAGCGGGCCGAAACGTCATGTAACCATGTGACGTTACATGAATAATGCATAGGTGTGCGAGTTAACAGTAGATATATCATCCCGACTGGCCGTGGAAAATACTGTTAACAGTATATTAATGAGAGATGTTATTTTTGATGTTACTCACAAACCAATGTGTGATTTATTTTTTTGCCCCAAACAAATACTTCATTGGTACACTGTTTCTTTAGGTTTTATTTTTCAGATTTTCAGATTTTTACTGTAAAAAAAGTAATGTTACCTATGTAACAGTACAAAATTTTTAGTTACATGGTACACTTGAACAATGGTAAATTAACATTACGAAAATCATGAGGGGTGATAATATGGACTGTTACCCTCTGTCATCACATATGGCTTATATAGTAAATGAAGCATGTGAGGTATAATAGAGTCCTCTACATAATAGAATGATTTGTTAATTTGTAATTTTATTCTTACATGAGGGTATGGTGTTGTTTGTTTGTTTTTTATTGTTTTGTTTTAAGATCTTTTGTTATTTATTACACATATTTACACATATAATTTATTTCATGCTTTCCAGTGTTTTATTGTAATATATCAGATAATTATATTCTGATAAACCACGAGTGAAATTTATAAAATATAATTTTCACTGTAGCCGAACTATATCTGAATGCGGATGAAAAGAAAATCATAACTAAATGGAATAACAGGCAGAAATAAATGCCGTCATACGTAAATTTTGCTTCTTTAGGAAAAGAAAGTCCATGTCACCATACATCATGTTAAAAATGTAACAAAATTACAGTAATTTAATAGAACTAAATTTCAAAACTGATGATGAGACGTCATGATGTGATGACGTCTCAAAGGAGAATGCGCAACGTTACGCGGAAAAATCAGTTAAAAGTACTTAAAATCACTTAAAAGCATGAAATAAAAAGAAAATTTATTTGTTTTACATATAAGATTGAAATATATTTCATTCGTGAACACCAGCTATTATATTTTCACGAGTGGCTACGCCACTCGTGAAAATATAGCATCTGGTGTTCACTCAGTGAAATTTCTATTTTAATCTTACATGCAAAACAAACAAATATCCTCTATATAATGTCTCACTTTGAAATAGTAAGGTAGTGAGATAGTTATGTTCATGAGGTAAAGGGGGGCATGTTGTTTCTTAGTCATGACTGTCCATGGACTGTTGTAATATTGGTTTCTATCATCATCATTCCATTGCCCTAGGAACATGTAGATGCCTATTCCCTTAACTACTTTCATCACAAATTAAGTGTGCACTGAACAAGTACCCCTGAGTTACTGAGGGCGCCATTCTGTATATTTTGACGTAACATACCACCCAGTGACCTTCAGTCAAAATTTGGGACAGTACATTAAAATTTCCTGTTTTATCAGATGTGGTTGTTTGATTTTTTTTATTAACACATCTCTATGTTATTTGATAAATGGTAAGATGTCCTGCTTTTTATTTGGAACTGTTCATTATAAATGTAGAGGAATGTAAGAATACGAAAATTGAGCAACCAACAGAAAATAGAGTGCTTCCAGGCTTTGTATTGATAAAATAAATTATTATGCAATATATATATATATATATGTTTAAGAAAACTCTTCCAATTGTATATAAGTATTTAATGTAATAATGTTTTTGATTTGATATTTGTTGATATTTTTCCAAAATAAAGTGCCTTACAGATTCATGACTTTGTTTTGAATCACAAACATATTAAGACAAGTATATGAAATACCTTTTAGCTATCATCATATTGTATGTTTATTTATTACTCGCCTCTTAGGGGTAGGGGTATATAGAATTGCCCTTGTCTGTCGGTCAGACTGACCTTAGACTGACAAAACAGTAGACTGTGGGGACATCTGTCTCCCACAGACAAATTTCTAGTTAAACTTATAGAGCTCAAACATTTCACATAAGAGAGGACATAATAATCAACAATATCAAGGTTTCAAAACATTTATTTTGTATTAAAGCATGTACT